CACACACACCAGCGGGGGAGAAAGCGTTGAACGCCAGGCCCTCTGCAGCCTGGCTTCAACATCACACAGCTAAAGAAGGAAGAGACAAGTCTCTTTGGAAATGGCACAGAGCCACCTTGGACCTCTGTTGGTTTGGACCAGCAGCTCCACTGGTTTTTGGAAGCTGATTTGGAGCACTATTTATGGAACAGTGTGGATAATATCCAAAAATATTAAGCTTCTTTGCTGCTTATTTAAAAACAATCCTCTATTTAGACTCAAATCAGAAATAATTTCCTCATGTTGGTCATTTTTGTTCTCATATATACCTCTGTTACATGCTACCAAACATGTAGAGGATCCATTATTTAGCTTGTAGCGCCCTCTACAGTTACTAGCACCACTGATATAAAATTAAATTCAGCAGAGGTTCATTGACCCTAAGGTATCACACGTTGCAGATTTTCAGCAGCTTTTAATTGTATTTATTCACAATTAATTAAAGATCTTCTCATCCAACCTATTTTATAAGCTTGCAGAACTATTAGTTCTCTTTGTCACATTAAAACCACAATTTTTTTTATCAAAATGGAGAGTCTGGGATAGCTCCATAAAAAGAGGCGATCGAAGTGTCGTTCTGCAGGAGCAGCGGAGATCAATAAGCAGGGTGGGACTTCCCCGCTGCTGCTTCAATTGAGATAATAATCAAGCTTCTGAGCCCTCAGCACGCCATACCCAACAGGAAACAGGGTGGTGGCTGTATCATGCTGCGGTGAGACTATTGCTGAGAAGGGTAACGGAAGCTGATCAGAATTTAGATAGTTGATAAAAACAGGACAGAAAGCCTGAGGTTGCAGAAGTTAAGACGGTGGTAGATGTTTGCCTTCCAGCAGGAAAACAATCCTGAACAGAAAAACTGAGCAATGCCACATTTTTTATTGTGTGTTAGAAAGTGGTAGAGGCAATGCAAGAGACTGGGGACGGTTTCAGCACTTTTTTATATTCTCTCTCATCTACTCAGTGAAATTAGACCTACACCGACCATTTATTAATAGATTAAATTAACACTTATCTCTTAGTGGCCCATATCATTTAAATGTAACTACATCTGACTGTTTTTTTTTTTTTACAATATTCATTAATAATATTGTGTTGCAACCAACATCCTCCCAGGGGGTATTGCAACATAAATCCATTTAACTTCATAAATCAGCTTTTTTTTTTGTCTTATTGGGCATAACATTCTAAGAATTTTGTATTGATTTTAAAATATGACAACTGAAGTTCAACCTCGAGCAGAAACAAACAGACATCTTAAAGTGAAACAATTACATTTTGAAACCTTTTTTTTTTTAAATACTATTATGAAACATTCCAAATTAACTCAGCTTAAAATATAAAAGATGTCCCAGTTCTAAATTGGAAAAAAAACTTATGTTGAAAAAGCATGTTTAAAAGCATCCATATTGTCAAAGTTTATCAGCATTTTATATATTTTTTAATAATCATCGAAATGATATTAATCTAACAACATGCTCCTTCCTCCATCAGCCAGATTCAGTTTTATTAGTTCTCTGGTTCCGTGGGGTTGTAGCAAGTGTCGCAACCATCAGGGGTGGATCTAGAGGGGAGCAGGAGGAACACTGGAACCCCCTGAAAACTGATTTTCTTTTAGATTATTCCTCCAAACCTGACAAGATGTCCTCACATGCAACCTGGGGTTCTGATGCAAGCAGTTGAATTTTATTGTTAAATATTAAAAATGTTTTATTAGCATCATACTAGATCAGGGTGTCAAACTGGTTCCAGAAAGTGCCATGTGGCTGCAGGTTTTCTTTCCAACTAAGCAAGAGCGCAGCAGCCATCTCATCAAGTCATCATATTTAGATTGGACTCACATGATGAGATGACTGAGTCTGGTGAGCTATTGCTTAGTTGGAAAGAAAACCTGCAGCCACACGGCCCTTTCTGGAACCACTTTGACACCCCTGTACTAAATGAACTGAACCCGGATGACAAGACCCTTATGGATAGAATCAAACCATGGAGTGTGACGTCGCCTGGTATGGCGTGGCTGGGGCCTCACCCTGGAGCCAGGCCTGGGGTTGGGGCTTGCATGCGAGCACCTATTGGGGGCAGGGTGCCTTGATGGCATGGAATGTCACCTCGCTGGGGGGGAAGGAGCCTGAGCTTGTGCGAGAGGTTGAGAGGTAAGGGCTGGACATAGTTGGGCTCACCTCTACGCACAGCTTGGGTTGCGGATCCCATCACCAGGAGAGAGGCTGGGGTGGCCTTGCTCATTGCCCCCATCTTCGTCGTCAGACATGTTAGAGTTCCCCCAGGTGAGTGAGAGGGTAGCGTCCCTACGCATTCAGGTTTATTACAGAGTGATCAAATTCCTACGCCTCCCCAGTAAGGTCTACTCCAGGGTGCTGAAGAGGAGGATCAGGCTGATAGTGGAACCTTGGATCCAGGAGGAACAATGTGGTTTTCGTCTCAGTTGCGGCACACTGGACCAGTTCTATACCCTTCATCGGGTGCTCGACGGTTCGTGGGAGTTTGCCCAACCAGTCCACATGTGTTTTGTGGATCTGGAGAAGGCTTTTGACCGTGTCCCTCGTGGTGCCCTGTGGGGGGTGCTCCAGGAATCTGGGGTCCGGAGCCTTTTGTTAATAGCTGTCCGTTCTCTGTATGACCACAGCTTGGTTTTCTTTTGCTGGCAGTAAGTCAGACCTGTTCCCGGTGCATGTTGGTCTCTGCCAGGGCTGCTCTTTGTCAACGGTTCTGTTCATTACATTTATGGATAGAATTTCTAGGCGCAGCCAGGGACAAGAGGTTTGTGAACCTCAGGATATCCTCTCTGCTGTTTGCTGATGATGTTGACCTGTTGGCCTCATCAAACCCGGACCTTTGGCATGCACTGGGTTGGTTTGCAGCAAAGTGTGAAGGATGACGATCAGCACCTCATAATCCAAGGCCATGGTTCTCGGGGTCTTAGGGTCTTGTTCACGAGTGAGGGACTCCATCCTGGAGGGAAACATCAGCTGTGCTGCTGCCATCAACGCCCTTGTTTATAGATGCTGGAGATCAGCCTGTTTTTCAGTGTAGTCCTGTTTCTCTGACTGTGACAGGCTGGATGTGCTCTCTTCATTCTCTGACATGGGAGCTGGTTCAGAGCTCGTCTGCCTGGCTGTGTGTTTCCTGGACGGGGCCGCCTTTTACAGCTGCTTTTTGTATCTCTGCTTCTGTCTCCTTGAACCCCAGTCGGCCTCAGCAGATGGCTGCTCACACTGAGCCTGGTTCTGCTGGAGGTTTCTTCCTGTTAAAAGGGAGCTTTTCTCTCCACTGTCGCTACAAGCATGCTTAGTGTGAGGAATTGCATCCGTGTAAATTAGTTGATGCAATCAACTGGTTTCCCTTAGATAGAAAACTTTGAATCAATTTGACTGGATGATCTAGTGAACTGTAAAGTGCCTTGAGATGACGTGTTGTGAATTTGCACTATAGAAATAAAATGAATTGAATTAAATATGTATATATATATATAAAATGATGTCTATATTCCTGCTTCTATCAATCAGTTGGTCTTGAAGTAACTGAAACAGACAATCGCCATCAGATCCTCAGTAAATTACAGCACAGTTCTGTGATCAGGTCCCATCTGGATAAACGGTCCAGTTGTTAAACTTCCTCCCTTTCCAAGTGTTTGTTTCTTTAATTATGCTTTGCTGTTTTTCTATCTATGTTAACAGCTTAATTTTTCCCCCCATTTTTTTTCTTTTTTTTTTTTTAACTCTTTCTGGTTCAGCCAGATGACTGATAAATTGAACAGGCATTTAACCTTTTCACTTCTATTGTTGTCATTTAGTCTGTGTGTCTTCTGTCTACGTTTTTCACTGTCGCACCAGACTGTCCTCTTTTCTATCCTATTTTATTGTATTGTATTCTATAGAAGAAATAACCTATATTCTGAGCACTTTGAAGTGCTGACAGTGATTTATTTTTCATACAATGTCTGTAAATATCTGTTATTTGTAATAAATTATATATTTTTGACTTCCTCAACAGAATCAATCACAAAATCAACCATTCAGTGGAATTCTAGCCCCCCCCCCCCCCCCCCCCCCCCCCCCCCCCCCACACACACACACACTGTTTTTTTTCTATTCTTTGAGTAAAATATGAATGTTTTTGGAATCTCGCCACTAGAGGGCAGTAGAACTTTGCAAATAAGCCTAACCATCCTGCAGCAGTCAGTAGGAAATAATATCCAATAGTTTTGTACAAGCAAATGATCCAACTTACCTGTTAAGATATTCAGGTGCAGAGACCTTTGGCTTTTTCCAGCAACGATCATTTTAAGTCAGAACATTCACTATTTTCAATGTTTTATCTGCAACAACCAACATTTTAACTGAAAGTTTTCTCTAAACTTGCTCAGGGTAAAACTAGATCTTTTTAGAAAAAAAATACACCCTTTTTTTAATCTTTATTATCATAATAATTATTATTTTGTTTATTTTTTTGCTGCTAGGCTGGTTAAGTAACCCTTGCATTGTTTTTAACAGCAATTAGAGAATGAAGCTAATTACACATATCTAATAATTTCTTCCCTTTTGTAATACTGTACTTGTCTCTGTTTTTGTTGTCATAGTTTTTCTTAATTGATGTTGATATTTTTGCTTGGCTCATCTGGCACCTTCACTTTTACTATTGCAACAGTAGAAACAAAGTGTAATCACACATAATACTGTCCAAACAAACATTTGCAATTTCTTGCATAGACAGTGGAAATTTGAGCCCACAGAGACGGGAAGGATGTGTCAACATCTGGAATTTGCGAGGAAAGAGAATATCAAGGTTTTTCATTGTCAAGTGTTTGGAGAACATGGAAGGTAGTTTAGAAAACTCCCACACTCCTTCCTGAGTGGGTTGTTTTTTTTTACAGCATCTGTAAACAAAAATCCGCACTTAGATAGACTGAACACAACTAATGATAAATAACGAGTTCTCTTAGTAAAAACAAGCTTTATTAAAGCTTTCAAATTCCTGGTCTTACATTTTTATAGTTGTGGCTGACAAATGAAACAGATTCAACAACAGGTTTAATGGCAATAGTCAAATAAAGCGACTGGAAGGCTTGTGAATTGAAACAGAAAGAGGCGAAGTCTGTTTAAAGCCCTGCAAATGGAGACAACATACAGTGTTAGGGAAAAAGTTCAAGTTTTAGCAGCATTTAAATACTAAGCTGGGCTCTTTGACATGAAGATTAAACATTCTTAGCTGCTTCACCCCTGGTTTGAACCAAATACAAATAAATATAAGTGCTAATGCATACATACGTATATACAATATATATATATACAATTATTCAGCCACACAACATGCAGCAAAACAAAGAAAGAACAAAGTAGACCAGATAGGTCTAACCAGACAACAAAACAAAATTGTTCCTAAAATAGTCAAACCTGGATTTAAGTAATGCAAAGCCTAAAACAAGTCAAAACCTTACAGGTTATTTAACCTTTTTTTATCAGGTTTATTCCCCGAAACATTCCTTACAGATATATGGAACTCTGCTAGCTCCTACTGGTAACTTTCCTAACCTTCCTGAACTCAGAAGTCAATTTTCAGTCCCTGCTGGAGATTACTTTTCTAAAATTCACAGGTTGTGTGGTTATGTCACTTTTTTGGAACTTAATGGTTACTTTCTCTGAACTTTAGTGGTCAGGTTTAAGTTTCTAACAATTAATTTCTGAGATGCACAGTTGTCTTTTCTAAAACTTGTTGGTTACTTTCTGAGATATAACAGGTTCTGTATCTGTCACTATAAGCTTTCTTTTTTCCTATTTTCCTTAAAATTGAGTTATTTTTCACTAAAAGGTGATATCCAGAAATTTTCTTTAGTGGAATTTAAAAGATTACATCCTGAAACATAACTCTTATTTTTTTCTTGTTTTGAAATAGAGTAATGTTCCTAACAGAAACATCCTTTCCTCGAACTTGAAATTTCATTTTCTGATAAGTAAAGATAATTTTCCTTACTTAAAATGAGCAATTTCCCTTTTATAGAAATAGGTCACTTTCCTGAAACGTGCTGTATGAGTTGCTTTTCTACAACTTCAACTTAAAAACAACTTTTGTTTAAGATAAATATGGGTTGTGGTCATTATTTTTTTTTCTCTTTATGCTTAAAGCTTTGCTTCTCAGAAAGCACCTGTATGGGTGGAACAGCAATTTCCCACTTTTTGAGATACGTATACAATGAAATGATCATTTTTGCACTACTTGTAAAGGAATGATTTTAGATGCCGAGTTAAGAGTTGTGGTTGTAGTTGTTGGCACGTAAGAGGCGGGTTTCAGCAATCTGTTCTTAAGTACCGGAGGGAAGAAAGTAGATATGTAAGCAACCTTAAACCCTGAGTTACAAAAGCAGTAAACCAGTGGGTCCAGCAAGCAGTCGAGGTAGGACAAAACCATGAGAGTGTCGAACACTTGGACCACTATGTTCTCTGTGTCTTGCATGTTTTTCAACCGTACTATCAATAACACCGCTCGTGCTATTGTGCTGGGCAGGAAGCAAACGGAGAAGACGACGGCGACAGAAAGAACAGCAAACACAGCTCTCCTCAGCTTGGCCTTATCCCCAACCGTCTTCCTCTTTAGTCGACTGACGATTCGAGTTGTGCAGTAAACCAAGATGCTGAATGGGATAATGATCTGAGAGAAGAAGACAAACTGGAAAAAACAAAGATAAGGCTGATTATTTAGGGTGGCAATGTCAGTGCAAAGTGACGATCTGCAAAATGTATCTGCTATTTAAAAAGATAAACAGATGCCAAAGTTTGCTTTAATAGAAAAGAAATAAAGAAAAGTGGAAAAATACAAGTGGTTGCTGATTCTTAAAGAAATGCAATAGTGTGCCAAGCTGTTAGTGAGGTGGAAAGATTTACTCCTGTAGGTAATAATTAATGAAATGAAGGGCTGTTTCTTTGAGAGGCACTGGGTTTATGTAAATAGCTGCAGGTCAACTTAAATGAAGGACTGAATGTTAAAACTCAACACTATCCTTCCAACTGTTCATCTAGCTTATATTTTTGTTCCTGGATACATGGATATTAATCCAGATATGTTTGATTATTTTACGCATCTGGTTTATCTGTTTAGAAAAAGCTTGTTGTTCAATGTGTGTTTGCATCTATTGGTACTTCATTCATTTTAGACCTTAACCTTTCGGTATGTCTTCACATGCCTCTGCTGACTCCCATTTCCTTTGGTTTATTCCTGTTAAACGATCTTATAATTGCTTTTCCCTTATAATAATTTTTTTTTAATGAAAATTAAAGCTGCACTGGAAAAATCATCTAGAAATAAGTAAAAATTTCTTAAATTAAGTGTATTTACCTTTGTTTTGAGTAGGTAAATGAGATAGTTTGCCAATGGGATGAGTATTTTCAATCCTAGTATAATATAATTAGATAATATGCACCTGAAATAAGAAAATGCTATTGTTTTTTCTTATTTTATATGTAAGTTGTCTCATTCCATGGACAAATTGTCTCATTTTCCTCCTCAATTCAAGAAAAAATGCAATTATTTTAAGAAGAAATTACTTAAGTAGATGGATAATTTTGCAGTGTGATTAGCACATTTTAAATTTTGTAGAAGTTCTATAACATAGGATATACTGGAGCTCCTGCCCACCTACATACTTTCTACCCTTTTCTCATATCATGATGGACATACTTGAAATCAAACTTGTTGAACTGGTTGAAAAAAAAAGTTTTCAATTCAATGCTTTTTAATGTCGATGGGAAAACATGCTTTGTAGAAGAAGAAATCTTTGCATATTTAAACCTGCAGAGATTTTAATCTTGGCATGTTTCATTTTGTAGAGTGGATTCAGATTTGGGAGAATCTATGAACATCAGTTTTTAAGTCATGCTGCTAATTTTCAGCTGGACTGATTGATTGGATTTTGACAGGGCGACTCTAACCTAAATGACTCCATAGTCTCTCTGACTGTTTATTAAAGTCTAGTTCTCCAAGATGAAACTATGTTTTTTGACAAACTGCTGCCATTGTTGGGATCTGGAGGTCTGTCCACTTTCTCCACCAGAGGGCGTACTAGATCTCCTGGAACCGGAGCTGATTGCTACCACCTGTCGCTCATCTGCTCATTAGGGGATCTGTATTTAAGGAGGCAGAGGACGTCTCTCCAGTGCCAGAGTGTTTGCCAGTTACGGTTAGCAAGCCTGAGCCAACCTGCCTGTCTGAATCTCTGACTCCCTGAAAACCTGAACCTGATCTGATTTCTCCTTTCTGCTTCCCAGGTTGAACCTGCCTGAAACCAGAAACCCTGAAGGGTTTCTCTGTTGGAAATCTGCCTGTCTGATCTTTGAAAGAACCCTGGAGAATCATTCCGGTCAAAGACCTGCCTGCCCGCTCTCTGAAGAATCTGGAAGGGAAATTCAAATCTGTGATCTGCAAACACTCAAACCAAGCTCTGCCTCCACCAAGCCCTCAGCCTGCCGACAGCCTCTGGACCCTCAAGGTTCCCCCCCTCAGCCGCTAAGCTCAAACTCCAGAACAGGTACTGTCCTGCTCACTCACATCCTGCAAATTACCTGGACATCTGCTAACTCCTCTGTCCCCCTCTGCAGTGAACCCACTCGAGATCAGTCCTGGATCTGATTAACCCCTGGATCTGTTTATTCTCTGTACAGAGTCATCTCTATAAACCTTTGAACTTTTCTCCTGCTTCAGTGTGTTCTGCATCTGGGTTAGGAACCTTAAGCCAAACATGACCGCCATCTTCCCGGTCCCTGCTACAGAGAATCCTTACTTCAGCATGTTTAACTGTAGAGTCGATTGATTCAGGTTTATACACAATGCTTTTCAGACACATGTTAAGTTTGTTATCTTCTGACCAAAGCAGCGTCAGCTGCTTTAAGACGTGACAAATTTCCATTTCAATGGAGGAATGGATGGATTGAACAACAATCTGTGAGAAATTGTAAAATCCTCAAGTCTTTTCTTAGAATATAATTTCCTCCCTGTTCTTTCTGCTTTATTTCTTGGTTTTCTTCATGCTCTTTTTTCACTAATGTTCTCAACAAACCTCAGAAGCTTTCAAAGAACAGCTGGAATTTACTCTCTGAAGGTAATAATACTGATTAGTTGATCTCTAAAGGAAGCAGGTTTACAGAAATCAGAGTAAACACTGGAAAAAATCGAATAATTTTTCTTAAAATAAGTTCATTAAGTTCGTGAATCATGGAGATAAATGAGACATTTTGCCAATGGAACAATACACTTTAGATTTACGAAAAGAAAACACAATTGCATTGTCTTATTTCCAGTGTATTTCATCGAATTATCTTATTTCAAGAGTAAAAATACTCATCCCATTGGCAAACTATCTCATTTGCCTATTAAATCACGGGTAAATACACTTAAATTTAAGAAATTTTTCACTTATTTCTAGATCATTTTTCCAGTGAACGAGTAAGAACACAAGAGCAAGACAAGTTTTAAACTACTCTTGAAACATACCTCTCTAAAGGCGTCTGTCAATTTTTCCGAAGGTTTACTCATATATCGGCCAAGGCTGTTGCAGCAATCAAAGCTTCTTACCAACGTGGGGATGGTAAGCGGCAGTAAGAACACCCATATAAGCACGGAGATCAGGGGAGACTTCTTAAACACCTTGACACAGTTTTTCCTCCCAAGGTGGACCACGCTGAAGTAGCGGTCCAGGGACAGCGTGATGAGGAAGGCGATGCTGGCCCCTCGATTGAGAAACAGCATGAAGAGCATCAGGGTGCAAACCGTCTCATTTTCGCTGCGCCTGACCTGATTCTGATAGTGGTGGATCTTAACAGGAAGGCAGGCCACCAGCAGAAAATCAGCAACCACAATGTTGAAGAGGAACACACTGTTGTTCTTCCAGAATTTGAACCTAAAAAAGGAAGCATTAACAAAACATTTAGTAGAACCAAAATCCTGAGAGCAACTTTTCAAAGCTACACAAAATATTCATTGGATCTCCTGGTATTTTTGCTTTGTTAAGAAGAAAATGCTGATTTTTTTTATATTGCAAAAACATTTATTTAATTCAATTTGATTGTTTTTCTTCTAAATCAAAATTGCTTCTTTGTTTCTGTTTGCACTCAAAGTGCTCAGGAAATGTATTATCTCAATCAAAGATGTTGAGGTCTGTATGTCACGTAATGCAAACACATGCTTTTATCTGGCGACATCATTAAAATGCAGTTTGACATTTAAACATTTTTATGACAACCACTGATTAGAATCAACTACATGACTTGAACATAATACTTTAATAATTTACTTAAACTAGTTTTACATCACACAGTCTTGAACCTGTAAAAGCTGACACACTGCTAAAACGATCTAGAAATAACTGAAAAATTGAATTAAATTACCCTTAATTTGAGTAGATAAAGGAGATGATTTGCCAATGGAATGAGTATTTTTACTCTTAAAATAAGATATTTAGATAATATGCATGTGAAATAAGACAATGCAGTTGTTTTTTCTTATTTCAAATGTAAAATGTCTTGTTCCACTGGCAAAGTGTCTCACTTACCTCCTTCATCAAAGAACACACGCACAGGTTTTAAGAAAAAAAATGACTTATTTAGATTTCCATTTTTTGCAGTGCATATTTTAATACTTTGTGATTAAAATGCATTAAGTTTGTTATCTCAGTCTAACCTCTGATAATCAGAGGCTCTGTCTACACATAACCATAATGGTTGGAAATTCTGCAAACTTTCTGAAAAAGGATCTTATAAAACTTATCTGCTGTATTTAATAGAAATGAATGTAGAATAAAACAAGCAAATAAGGTAGTGATACCTGAAGATGAAGATGTAGAGCACCGAGAGGTTAAGAGGTAGACCCAGAATGAATTCTCCAGCCATCACCCAGGACAAGACTTTGTATGTGTTGTTATTTGGCACATTGCAGTGGTCCTCTAGCCCTGTAGTGTGATTCTGAGTTGAAGAATAGTTAGCCATTTATTTTCCCTCTGCAATAATAAAGCCCAAGCCGATCCTTTATCTCCACTTTGCTCCTGGCTGTAAATCCTCTCCCCCGCAGACGCTGGTTTCCTTCTCTCCTACTTATCCGATAAATTCAACAGTTCCCCTCAGATATCCTGGCAGTGATTGTTAGACCCAGATGATCATCTCCTAATCATGCCAGAAGATAATGAAGAAACACACATATATGCAGATATATGCAGCACAAAGTGGAGGAGACGATACCTCTCTAAGTGTGTCTGAGTCTGAGTGTGTGTTCTCTATTTATGCAAGGCTGCAGCTGATGCCTGACGGAGGATGAACACATATTTCAGTTGGAGGTGTGGTTTAAGGAGAGTGACTTAACCAGCCAAGAGGTGTCAAACCTCCTGTTATTAAGAAATTGAAGCAAAAAGCTGTTATTCCTTCAGGATTCAGCTGTAAGTTGGCGGAACCTGAATTTTAATATGTTCGGAGAATCCACTGTTGTTTAGGGGAAATACAGCATCATATAAACGCCAATTTTAGCCACTCTAAAGTAAATAAAATTGCACATATGTCATAATCATAATTAATAATTTTTATAGTAATTAATATAAAACATATACATATGAGCCAAAACTTTTCAACAAACCAAATGGTGCACAAAGTGCTTTACAAGTTATTATAAAAACATGATGTTAAGACAAAATAGATACAAAATAGAATATAAATATAATAGAATATGTAAATATAAAATCAAGAAAAAAAGCATACAACGGATAAAAACAAAAAATTCATAAGAGCAGAATTAAAATATATTTGTAGGAGCTATATAAAAAATATATAACATCATATACCAAAAGTAAATATAACCCTGAGTTTAACATCTAGGAGTTAGAGGTCTGAGCTCAGCAAGTGATCGTAGTTCTGGAGGTACATTTCCCCACTAAGGCACGATAAGTGAGAAATAAAAATTATGATTCTCAAATAAGATTTGTTCATTATTCATTGCTCAAAAACATAAAGGGAGCTCTCATTAACACGTCCTAGATCTAGCTGAAACATTTTTACTGCATGATTTTTCTGTACAAATTCAGTTCAAAGTGCTGAAAAAAACACAAAAATATGTGTCTGTAGAACATTCCTACAACACCTGGACATGCTCCTGATCAGATGGCGGATGGTCTCCAGAGTGGTCTCCTGCCAGACCTGTAGGAAAGCATTCGCCAACTCCTGGACAGTCTGTGGTGCAACGTGACGTTGCTGGATGGATCGAGACATGATGTCCCAGATGTGCTCAATCAGATTCAGGTCTAGGGAATGTGTAGGCCAGTCCATGGCTTCAATGCATTTGATCTTGAAAGGAAAGGACTGCTGACTCACTCCAGCCTTATCAGGTCTAGCATTGTCCTGCATTAGGAGGAACCCAGGGTCAAACGCACCAGTATATGGTTTCACAAGGTGTCTGAGGATCTCATCTCAGTACCTAATGGCAGTGCTACCTCTGGTGAGCACATGGAGGACTTTGTGGCGCTCCACAGAAATGCTACCCCACACCATCACTTACCAACTGCTAAACCAGTCATACTGAAGGATGCAGGCAGCAGATTGCTCTCCACAGGGTCTCCAGACTCTGTCACCTCTGTCCCATGTGCTCAGTGTGAAGTTGTGTTCATCTGTAAAGAGCACAGGGCGGCAGTGTTGAATTTGCCAATCCTGGTGTTGTCTTTCACACTCCAAGTGTCCTGCATGTTGTGGGCTGCAAGCAAAACCCCTATCTATGGATTTTGGTGCCTCATACTATCCTCTTTGAGTCTATTTCTAATTGTTTGTGCAGACAAATTTACATTTGTGGCCTGCTGGAGGTCATTTTACAGGGATCTGACAGCGCTCCTCCTGTTCCTTCTTGCACAAAGGCAGAGGTAGCAGCCCTGATGCTGGGTTGTCACCCTCCTATGGCCTCCTCCACATCTCCTGGTGTACTGGGCTGTCTCCATGTTGCGCCTCCAGTCTCTAGATACTACGCTGACAGACAGAGCAAACCTTCTTGCCACAGCTCACATTGATGTGCCATCCTGGATGAGTTCACTACCTTAGCCTCTGTGGTTTGCAGAGTACATCTCATGCTACCACTAATGTGAAAGTACCACCAACATTTAAAAGTGACTAAAACATTGGCAAGAAAGCGTAGGTACCGAGACGTGGTCTGTGGATCTTTAATGAGTGTGTCTTGCTAATTGCAAGTAATTTCCACCTGTTCTCTATTCTCTTTGCACAACAGCATGTGAAATTGATTGTCAATCGGTGTTGCTTCCTAAGTGGACAGTTTGATTGTGCTGAATTTTGATTTATTTGAAGTTATATTGTGTTGTTTATAGTTCCCAGTATTTTTTAGCAGTGAATTTTCTGACTCATTTCTACTTTTATATAAATAGGAAAAAAACAGCATTTCAAATTACAATAAAAAAGAATTCAAGGTCAAGAAGAAGCTCAATGATCTACACTCACCGGCCACTTTATTAGGTACCCCATGCTAGTAACAGGTTGGACCCCCTTTTGCCTTCAGAACTGCCTCAATTCTTCGTGGCATAGATTCAACAAGGTGCTGGAAGCATTCCTCAGGGAGTTTGGTCCATATTGACATGATGGCATCACACAGTTGCCGCAGATTTGTCGGCTGCACATCCATGATGCGAATCTCCCGTTCCACCACATCCCAAAGATGCTCTATTGGATTGAGATCTGGTGACTGTGGAGGCCATTCGAGTACAGTGAACTCATTGCCATGTTCAAGAAACCAGTCTGACATGATTCCAGCTTTATGACATGGCGCATTATCCTGCTGAAAGTAGCCATCAGAAGTTGGGTACATTGTGGTCATAAAGGGATGGACATGGTCAGCAACAATACTCAGGTAGGCTGTGGCGTTGCAACAATGCTCAATTGGTACCAAGGGGCCCAAAGAGTGCCAAGAAAATATTCCCCACACCATGACACCACCACCACCAGCCTGAACCGTTGATACAAGGCAGGATGGATCCATGCTTTCATGTTGTAGACGCCAAATTCTGACCCTACCATCCGAATGTCGCAGCAGAAATCGAGACACATCAGACCAGGCAACGTTTTTCCAATCTTCTATTGTCCAATTTCGATGAGCTTGTGCAAATTGTAGCCTCAGTTTCCTGTTCTTAGCTGAAAGGAGTGGCACCCGGTGGGGTCTTCTGCTGCTGTAGCCCATCTGCCTCAAAGTTCGACGTACTGTGCGTTCAGAGATGCTCTTCTGCCCACCTTGGTTGTAACGGGTGGTTATTTGAGTCACTGTTGCCCTTCTATCAGCTCGAACCAGTCTGGCCTTTCTCCTCTGACCTCTGGCATCAACAAGGCATTTCCGCCCACAGAACTGCCGCTCACTGGATGTTTTTTCTTTTTCGGACCATTCTCTGTAAACCCTAGAGATGGTTGTGCGTGAAAATCCCAGTAGATTAGCAGTTTCTGAAATACTCAGACCAGCCCTTCTGGCACCAACAATCATGCCACGTTCAAAGTCACTCAAATCACCTTTCTTCCCCATACTGATGCTCGGTTTGAACTGCAGGAGATTGTCTTGACCATGTCTACATGCCTAAATGCACTGAGTTGCCGCCATGTGATTGTCTGCTTAGAAATTAAGTGTTAACGAGCAGTTGGACAGGTGTACCTAATAAAGTGACCGGTGAGTGTACGTTATTATTACAGTAATCTTTTTCTGGTGAAGAGATGATTACCTTAGTTTTATCCTTATTTAGCAGGAGAAAACATTAAGACATCCGGTATTTACCTGTAAGTAGACGTCTTGATAAAATGTAGAGTTTTGAAACGTATTTTAGAGGAAATGAGATATGCAACTGGATAATATTAGCATAACAATGACAGGAAATCCTTAAAAAGTAAGGGTGTAAGTGAGAGCAGGTTTAGCAAAAACAACAATGTACCCAGAACAGAGCTCTGTGGAACACCAAAGTGAACAAAATAAGAATAAGAGCTATACGGAGATGTAGCCAAAATGGTTGATCTGTCTGACAAGTAAGAAGACAACCATTTTAAATTAGGACCTGAAATACCAGCCCAACTCCTCAACCTATCTAACAGACTCAGATGATTAACAGTGTTAAAAGCTGATGTTAGGTCTAACACAAATAGTACAAAAAAAAATTGCTATATCATGCTATGTCAAAAAATTGTTAAAATATGGGGCGACAGGGGCATTGAATGCAGGAGTTTGCCTTGCAACCGAAGGGTCTTTGGTTCAAACCCCAGCTCTTGCTTTCACTATTGTTGTGTTGGTGGTTAGAGGGCCTTGTAGCACCAGTGCACAACAGTCTTGATTCTATCAGTGAGCAAAATGTACCATGTAGCTTGCCACCACCAGTCTTTGTGCATAGGTGAATGTGCTGTAAAGCACTTTGGTCAAGTCTCCTGGCTTAAAGAGTTGTATAAATACAAGCTATTTAACAGATAATATTATATGAAAATGTATTATACCGGGGTACCATAAAGGACACGTACCTTACTCTTTTCTAAGAACTTGTGAAATGAAATTCTGGGTAACCACCTGGTAGGACAGATAAATCATTGTGATTAATGGCCACAACTTCCTTTCTCAGTTGAAATTGAAAGGAAATCCTGTATTTTGACATATCCAGTGGAAGTCTGCATCTATATTATTTAAATTGGAGTATAAGATCTAGCTCTTTCAGTGGCAGACATCTCGGGGAAACTCCAGAACCTGATGGTGTTTCCCTCTTCTGCCTGAAAGGCTGATCTCTAAAGCTGTTGAAGGTTATCTACTGCTTCAAAAAAGTAACATGCCATCAAAGGAATACGTGACTACAGACCAGTCACCCAGACATCTTTGTTGATGAAACCCAGATATTCTTTATCAGAACCTAACCCAGCTCACAGTGCCAGCCTCTCAGTAGATGACCAATTCCCTGACAGACCACCAGTATCAGGTAAGTCTGGGGTACTTTTATATCCTCACAAGATACATCACCATCGGGACCCCTCAAGGGTGTGTTTGGCTTCCACTCTCACACCACTGTTAAGCCTCTTTCCCGCTGAAAATAGCACGTTGACATGTGTTTTTCCAAACATGAGCTAACAATCTGCATTGGGCTCCCTTCCCATTTGTAAAAAAGTGGGTCTTTTCCCCCCTGTGGCTGTGTGTCTGGTGACAC